GACCCAAAAAACTAACTTCATCTATTATCTTATCATTTGTATTAAGTGTTACCTAAACTTACCTTTTAATCTGATTTTACATGAGTAAACTTACTAAAGATTTTAATTGTTTTATACATTCTTTTTTAATCATTGTATTCTTCAAGATGTTATGATGAAGCAGATTACTGGTAAAGGACATGTATCAGATGATCTTTACATTCTTGATACATGGGTGCCTCAATTGGTTGTCTGCTCTAATGTTATTTCTCCATTTGAAACACATTGTAAATTGGAATATCATTCCCTCCTTGTGTTGAAGAAACTATATTCTCAATTTCATGATATATTTTCACTGAATTGCGAATCATGTCGGTTTGTGAAACATCACCGTAATTCGTTAGGTTTAAAAGTTAATAGACAAGCTGAGTCTATTTTTGAGTTAATTCATTTTGATATTTGGAGCCCCTGTCTTGTTTCATCCAAAACAATATTTTAGGATTTGAAATCACTGCTTATATACCCGGTATTGACCATAATTCACAAGAACATTCTGTAGCCTTAGTAAGAGGGGGAAGGGTTAAGGATTTACCCGGTGTGAGATCACATTGTTCGAGAAACCCTAGATGTTGTCAGAGTAAAGGATCGTCTACAAAGGCGTTCTAGTGCGTTGTTACCTTTTTGAATTATTTTTCTCGAATGACTTTAATATATTTTATGAAAAATCGTTTTAAAATATTTTCTCACTTTTGCGCTTTTTATACTGAAGTCAATACCCAATTCAATATTTCTGTATATGTATTGAGAAATGATAATGTCAAGAAATATATATCACACTCATTTCAGAACTATATAACTCAATACGGGATTCTTTACTAATCATCGTGTGTTGATATGCCCTCTTAAAATGGAGTCGTTAAGAGGAAGAACAGCCATTTACTTGATACAACTAAAGCCCTCTTGTTCCAAACACAAGTCCATAAATAATTCTGAGCTGATTTTTTTATAATTTATTTCTTGATTAATCATCTGTCATCTACAGTACTCGATGGAGATGCTCCCTACAATTTTCTTTTTTCAAATAAATCTTTATTTCTGGTGCAACCTACAATATTTAGTAGTATCTGTTATGTTTGAAATGTGCGACCTAATTTGATAAAATTGAAACCAAAAGGCTTAAAGTGTGTTTTTGGATATTCTCGTCTTCGGAAAAGCTACTCTCCAGATGTCAATAAATATTTAGTATCAATTGATGTGATATTTTCAGATAATACGTCGTTCTTCTCCTCATTATCCAATTCTACAAGTCAAGACAGCGGACGATGAGCGGCTCATTTATACGTTCACACCAAGTGTCTCTACTAAATAAACAGATAATAGTATTTTTGTAGATGATACATCTTCAGCTCTACTTGAACAAACTGATGATAGTGTTGGTGTGCCTCTGACCTAAGTACCACCACCAATTGTTCATGTTATTCAAGAAAACAACAGACTATTGATAAATGTCTTACACCAGTTCCCTCGTCATCTGATTCTATCCCACAAGATCTTGATCTTTCCATTGGTCTTCGCAAAGATAAACATCAGTGCATATGTCTGATCAAACTTATCATATTGCTAATTTTATTTCATATGACCATTTGTCTCTCTCGTCTCTCTTTCATTACTTTTATAAATTCAATTTTTATACCCAAAACAAATAAGGAAGCTGTGAATCATCCTGATTGGCATAATACAATATTTGAGAAGATAAATGCTCTCAATAAAAATCACATTTGGGATTTGGTAGATTTACCCAAAGGAAAAAGGGTTGTAGGGTGCAAATAAGTATTTTCAATCAAAATAAACTTAGATGACTCTGTAACAAGACTTTAAAGATAGACTTGTAGTAAAAGATTATGTTTAAACTTATAGGGTATACCTTCTCTCTAGTGGCCAAATTTACATATGTCCATTTATTCATCTATATTGCAATATCTCGAAATTGACTCTTATACTAATTGGATATCAAAAATGCATTCCTTCATTGCGATCCTCTAAAAAAAGTGTATATGAAACAACCACTTAAGTTTGTTGCTCAGAGAGAATATGAAAAAATTTGTCATTTGAAGAAATTTTTGTATGGTTTAAAACAGAATTTCCGCCTGTAGTTTGACAAATTTAGTGAAGTACCTTTGAAATTTGGGCTGAAAAAGAGCAAGTGTGAATCACTCAATCTTTTATAAATAGTCAGTAGTTGTTTTTATATTTCTTATTGTCTATGTTGACAATACTGTCATTACAGGAGATGACTGTATAAGAACATCCTCTCTCAAGTCATTCTTACATACCAAGTTTCACACCAAAAACTTGAATTAGTTAAAATACTACTTGGGAGTAGAAGTAACAGGAAGCAAGAAATGGATTTTTTTATCTCAGAAGAAATATGTACTTGATCTACTTACTAAAGATGATGGTGACCCCCCTTTGATAATTCGAAAAAGTACAGACGATTAGTTGGGAGACCAAATTACCTCACAATGACTCATTCAGATATTGCATATCATATCAGTATTGTTAAACAGTTTATGTCCGCACCTACAGTCAAACATTGAAAGGTTTTGAAACAAATTTTGTGTTACTTAAAATGTACTCCAGGACTTTATATATTGTTTAGCATTCATGGGCATAAGCATAATGAATGTTTTGCAAATGCTGATTGGGTTACATTTAAAATTGATAGAAGTTCCACTACAAATTATTGTATTTTTGTTGATAGGAACTTGGTATCATAGAGAAGTAAAAAGCAGACCGTTGCATCTCAATCCAGTGCAGAGTTCGAATACAGAGTTATGACCCAGTTTACATATGAAGTTTTATGGATACAACACCTCTTAGCTGAAGTAGGTTAGAGTCTCATATTACTTACAAAACTCTGGTGTGATAATTAAGCTGCCCTTCATATTGTCTCAAATCCAGCATACCATGAAAAAATTAAACATATCGAGTATCACATCATCTGCGAGAAGATTTAGAAAAACTTGATCTTTACTGGTTATGTAAAGACAGAAGAACAAATAGGTGATATATTTACAAAGGTTTTAAATAGAAATCAAACTGAATATCGTCGTAACAAGCTGTGCATAATTAATATGTATGCTTCAGCTTAAAGAGGAGTGTTACAATATTACATAATATATTACGGAATATTCTCATATAATTATTAGTTGATTTTCTATCATTAATAAAATGATTTATATTGTCATATATACATCTATCTTTTGTACATATATATATCTCTAACCCATTAGAATAAAATACCAAAAATATTTTTCCTATTTTCTCTATTATTTTACAAGGGTGAACTCTTTCTAACTAAAATTATTGAGTCAAAGATGAATTATTGGCTGCTCGAGAAGGTCATTTGGTTGCTCAAGACAAGTTTAGGAAGGACAAAGATGACTTTATTAGGTTCAAGAGTTTTATCACAATTGCAAGAAAACAATACCTCTGTTACTTCCTCTTTTGCAAAAAGGAGCCTGCAAGGCGTATTTGCCAATGATGCTTAAGGCAAGCGAAGTCAAACCCTCAAGCTTTGTGTTTTGTCCACAATCAAATCATTGGCTGCTCGAGACAAGTTTAGGAAGGCCAAAGATGAATCCCACAATCTTCTAGCCTCTTTACACAATAGAAGTTGATGGTTTAGGAATTCATCCTCTTGTGAGCACATCAGGCACCATTAACAATGAATTTACCGCACTCCCTCAAGTTATACATCATGAGATTTTGTGTCAAGCAAAGAAGGCAACACAAAGGAAACCTTTTTCCTTCCAATATGCTTCCAAGGGAATTTTGAGCCAACCTTATTCCAGGAAAAGAGTTGATAGTACAAGGTCACCTACACTGGTCAAATGCACCAGGGTCAAATTGGCAGGAATCTAAGTGGTAGCAGCTAGGTGCAAGAAAAGATTTTTATGGGCAGGGGTAGCAAGAGCATAGGGATCATTTAGTGGAAGATCTTTACCAGTCAAAGGACTTGGCTGGAATATTGTGAACTTTAAATCAAAAAATTTATCTCCTTTTCTGTTTAAGAAAAGTTGTATCACAGACTAAATGTGTCCCTCCTTATATGCGTACCAGTGCAAACCCTACAACATTAACAACCCTGACTGCTGTCACATTGCTTACAGCAAGTGAAATCAAGGGAAGAAACAGAAAGTTACAGCATAAAGAAAATTTTGACCTTGTTGTGATCCACAAGATACTGCGTAATTAATAACA